CCTCTTCTTCTTCTTCCTCTTCTTCTTCTTCTTCTTCTTCTTCCTCTTCCTCTTCTTCTTCCTCCTCCTCCTCCTCTTCTTCTTCTTCTTCTTCTTCTTCTTCTTCTTCTTCTTCTTCTTCTTCTTCTTCTTCTTCTTCTTCTTCCCCATCTGTGCCACAGGCCAGTTGGTCGGTTATGCTACTTTCTCCTTCCACTTCCTTCATCCCCTCTCTCATTATATTGCCTCCCTTTTCATAAAAGGTAACTGGTGTGCTCCATTGTCCTTCTGCAGCCATTGCTTTGAGCGTTGGTTTAAACGTTGCCTGTGTTGCTTTCATTTTTCAGCGCTTCGGAGCCGATCGGGGAGGTCTATCATCAACGGGAATTGGGCGATCGACCGACCCGGGAGGTACGAGGGAGGAGGGACCATGTTCACGTACAAGCGCCCCAATGAAATCTCGAGCACCGCGGGGGAGTCCTTCTTGGCGGATGGCCCCACCAACGAAATTCTGGACGTCTATGTAAGCTGCAAATACTTGGCGTAGCTTTCTTTCCACCAACCACCAATGTCATGTTCTCTTAGTATGATAAAACTGTTGGGTAAATAAGGCGTGGCGATTGGAGTTGCTAATCAAAATAAGGTTCTTTATCTAAATCTATTAGGAAGGGGGGGAACCGGGAAAGTTCGAATAAAATAACAACATCCTAAGCTACGTATTCATACAGCAAAGTAGGCTAATACGTACCACAAGTCTCTAAGAGGGAAAAGTTAAAAACTTGGGTGAAGCCACTGAGCAAGTAACCTCTGTTCTAGAACCTGATAAAAGGGTTGGAACACTTTCCTTATGAGGAAAGGTTAAGGTGCTTAGGGCTCTTTATCTTGGAGAAACGATGACTGAGGGGTGACATGATTGAGGTTTGTAAGATTATGCATGGGAAAGAGCAGGTAGAGAAAGAGGTACTTTTCTCCCTTTCTCACAATACAAGAACTCGTGGGCACTCCATGAAATTGCTGAGTGGTCGGGTTAGAACGGATAAAAGGAAGTACTTCTTCACCCAAAGAGTGATTAACACTTGGAATTCACTGCCACAGGAAGTGGTGGGTGCTACAAGCATGGACGGCTTCAAAAGGGAATTAGATAAGCATATGGAGCAGAGGTCCATCAGTGGCTATTAGCCACAAGGTATAGATAGGGGCTCTGGGGCAAGTGATGCTCTGTCTTCTTGGTGCTTGGGGGGGGGGTCAACAGTGGGAGGGCTTCTAATGTCCTGGCCCCACTGGTGGACCTCCTGATGGCACCTGGTATTTCTGGCCACTGTGTGATACAGAGTGTTGGACTGGATGGCCCATTGGCCTGATCCAACATTGGCATCTCTTATGTTAACCTTAATAGGAAGAAGCTCGAGCTCATTGATCAACCCAAACACTAATAAATTAAAAGCCATCCAATCAGATTCTCAAACACACCCGTTAACACACAGGGCTGGCTCTGAGCCAGGTTGCACTTCCAGGGCAGCTCTCAGGTAGAATCATAACAAATATGTTAACCTTACAATGACTGAAATGTAGATCTTTTTATTTATTCACCCGTGCTGAAAAATCCCGGGCACAGAGAGGGACCCCCCACACACTGGCAGCCAGGTAAGACCTGTCAACCCTAGTTTCCAGAGGTATGGGGTGTGGTTACTTGCTGCCAGCTCCTCATAAGCTTGAGTACCCAGCATCAGGGGTCATTTCCTGCGGAAGTGCACAGGAGCAGAGCTCCGGCAGTAAGGAGCCCAGGGGGCGGGCACATACAACAAGCCCCGCCCCCTGCTCCCAGCAGCCCTCAGTCGGGCCACGAGGAGCAAGAAGCAGCCAGGTAAGTTGCAAAGGCCCCATCCCACCGCCTGCCTTCAGGTACAAGCTCTCCCTCCTCTGTGAGGGCAGATCTGCGCATTCCCCCCCACACACACACAATAGCTAGCAATCCAAAACAGTCCAGTGGCACCTGAGCAGTGGGCGTTGCCTTCTGACACACCTCCGGTGATGTCGGGGTGTGTGGCATATGCAAATAAGTCATGCTAATGAGTTATGCTAATGAGCTCCTGCACCTCTTTGTCTATGAAATGACCCCCTGCAAGTACATATATAAAAACACAACCTAAAGTGCGAGTACATCATGATAATAATGGCGAGGCGTCAGTAGCTTAAAGTACGGTCAGCCATAACTGGTCTGGGTCATATCGGCGTATGTGCGTTATCGATGGTGGTGTTTATAGTAGGGTCAGGGTGCAGCTCCCTAGCTGAAAGCCTGGTGGAAGAGCTCCGTCTTGCAGGCCCTGCAGAACTGTAAGAGGTCTCGCAGGGCCCTGATCTATTGTTGACATTATTTTAACCCTGTTAGCTGCCTTAAGCCAGCGTGTCCGGCAAGGCGGGATATAAATAGAAATAATAAATAAATAATAAATAAAGTACCTCTCAAAGTAAGAAATAGATAGCCTTGAAACAAATACACTCTCCTGAATGTTTTAAGAATTCAACTCTGTATATATTAGAAAGTTTTTACCTCAGCGATCTCAAAACCTTGACTATTCCATTTATACATATATTCCCTGCCTGTTTAATAAAATCTTTATTCTGTTTTTGAAAGTTAATTTGCCTCAAGTGCCATTTCTCAGGAGTTTAAAGAAAACTGGACAGATCCTGAATTTTCAGTAGAGCTCCTGAGCTGAGAAAAAGCCTAAACTAAATATCTCAAACATAGGGTGGGACAGTTAAGTCTTTTATGACAAAGAATATATACATGCTACTATAGGGCAACTCAGTCACTGAGGGGAAACAGAATTTTTGGTAGGAAAAATCTGCCAGACAGTTGGGGAGATTCAGGGATTCATCATATTAGGCAACATGCCTTGCCTTAGATGGTCAGCCTCTGAACCCCAGTGCCAGAAGGCAGCATTAGGGGAACGCCTCAGCCTCTATGCCCTGTTTGGTGTAGTGGTCAAGTGCGCAGACTCTAATCTGAGAGAACCAGGTTTGATTCCCAACTCCTCCACTTGCACCAGGCTGGATGACCTTGGGCAAGTCGTAGTTCTGATAAGAGCTGTTCTTGAAAAAGAGCCGTTTCTGTCAGAGCTCTCTCAGCCCCACCTAACTCAGAGGGTGTCTGTTGTGGAGAGGGGAAGGGAAAGGAGTTTGTAAGCCACTCTGAGACACCTTTGGGTAGCGAAGGGCGGGGTATAAATCCAATCTCCTCCTGCTGTTGCTGACCCTCCAAAGGAGGCTGGACTAGATGGACCCCTGGTCTGATCCAACAGGGCTCTTCTGATGTTCTTATGAAGGCCTCAGCCTCTATGCCCTGTTGTTGGCCCTCCAGAGGAACTGGTTGGCCTCTGTGTGAGACAGGAGGATAAACTAGATGGACTACTGGTCTGATCCAGCAAGGCTCTTCTGGTGTTCTTATGAAGGCCTCAGCCTCTATGCCCTGTTGTTGGCCCTCCAGAGGAACTGGTTGGCCTCTGTGTGAGACAGGAGGATAAACTAGATGGACTACTGGTCTGATCCAGCAAGGCTCTTCTGGTGTTCTTATGAAGGCCTCAGCCTCTATGCCCTGTTGTTGGCCCTCCAGAGGAACTGGTTGGCCTCTGTGTGAGACAGGAGGCTGGTCTAGATGGACCCTCACTGGTCTGATCTTGCAAGGCTCTTCTGATGTTCTGAATCTTGGTCTCATAGCTCTACTTTGGGAATCAGCCCAACCCAAGCATAGCAGTGGCAGGGGAGGCTGAGGAGGTCGAGAAAAGGGGATAACAATGCACAAGGGGGAGAGGGTGGGAAAGCAGATGAAACTCCCTGCCCCCAGAAGGAGAAGTCTCTCTACCCAGAAGAGATAAGACTGCACTGTGTGCAGGGCTTTCACTGTGGCCCAGAATGTGGACTTAAGGCCTGAGGTTAGAGGTTCCTTCTCTGTAAGCCTGAAAAAAGAACAAAGATCCTAGCTCTCTTCTTCTTCTCCTTCTTCTTCTTCTCCTTCTTCTCCTTCTTCTTCTCCTTCTCCTCCTCCTCCTCCTCCTTCTCCTCCTTCTCCTTCTCCTCCTCCTCCTTCTCCTCCTCCTCCTCCTTCTCCTCCTCCTTCTCCTTCTTCTCCTTCTTCTTCTTCTTCTTCCTCTTCTTCTTCTTCTTCTTGGTTCCTGCTCTTTTAAGGCAATACGGAGCCCATATTCCCACTTTTGCCTACATGCCAATTGGGGTCCTTTCTCTTTTAGATGATACACCAGCAGCCCAACCCAGGTATCCATTATGAGTACATCATCCCAGGTCCCAATGTCATCAGTCCTCAGGTGCCTCTTCACAGGCGGCCAGGTAAGTCACTTGCTTTGCACAGACTGTTTTTCTAGCTTAGGTGTTCCGCTGGTGGTGCACTTGGGTTGCAGGAGACGGGAAACTCAGTGATGTGAAAGGACAGCAAGACAGACATTCCGTTCACCTTTGGAGGCTGGACTCCTACAGGAACGGGAATGCAGCCGATGAGCAGTAGGTTCAGGGCAGGCAAAAGGAAATACGGCTTGACACAGAGAGTGGTCCAAGTGTGGAATTCACTGCCAGAGGGTGTCGTGATATCCACAGGAATACACAGCGTTCAAAGGGGATGAGATAGATCCATGAAGTCTATCAGTGGCTATCAGAGGGGAACCTCCACATTCAGAGGCACTAAACATCTGAATCCCAGAGCCAGGAGGCAACATTGGGGAAGACCTCGGCCTCTGTGCCCTGCTGTTGGCCCTCCAGAGGAACTGGTTGGCCACTGTGTGAGACGGGATGCTGGACTAGATGGACCCTCACTGGTCTGATCTGGCAGGGCTCTTCTGATGTTCTGATGAAGGCCTCGGCCTCTGTGCCCTGCTGTTGGCCCTCCAGAGGAACTGGTTGGCCACTGTGTGAGACGGGATGGTGGACTAGATGGACCCTCACTGGTCTGATCCGGCAGGGCTCTTCTGATGTTCTGATGAAGGCCTCGGCCTCTGTGCCCTGCTGTTGGCCCTCCAGAGGAACTGGTTGGCCACTGTGTGAGACGGGATGCTGGACTAGATGGACCCTCACTGGTCTGATCCGGCAGGGCTCTTCTGATGTTCTGATGAAGGCCTCGGCCTCTGTGCCCTGCTGTTGGCCCTCCAGAGGAACTGGTTGGCCACTGTGTGAGACGGGATGCTGGACTAGATGGACCCCTGGTCTGATCTGGCAGGGCTCTTCTGATGTTCTGATGAAGGCCTCGGCCTCTCTGTCATTTCCGCCCCCCCCTTTTTGCTTCCTACTGTAGCTTTATTTTAAAAGACATGCACAGACACAAGACGTTTCCGTTTTAAAACAGGATCCATTACAACTTGGCACTGTCAGATGTGTCTTCACACAACATGCACCTGGTAGACCCAGAGATACGCAAGGTTTCCTCTGAAGTTAATACAGAGCAGCCAGGATTTAGTATTTTGCCGAGCCCTGCAGAAATTGTGCTCATTGTTAGTTCCAGAAAAATAATTAGCAAGGTTGTCTGCTCCAAGAAACATCCCGACTGCAACTCAAAAAGCCTCTTTTTTTATAGAACTGCCCTGTCATAAAAAACAATGATATGTCTATCTGGATTAGCTTTGCCAGACTTCTTGCCAGTTCTAACTCTTTTAAATTCTAGAACAAAGTTGGAGTCCAGTGGCACTTTTAAGACGAACAAAAGTTCTATTCAAGGTATTTGTTCGGAAGTGTGCCTGCACGCGAAAGCTTATACCTTGAATAAAACGTTGTTGGCCTTAAAGGTGCCACTGGACTCCAACTTTGTTCCGCTGCTTCAGACAGACACGGCTACCCACCTGAATCTATCTTTAAATTCTAGTAAGATGATATTGTTCACCTTTCTTTGTCTTGACCCATGAGGGGTCTGGGCGCTCGAAGAACCAGAGACCTCAGTCATAAACGTTCTTCAGACTGTACCTCGTTCCAAACCTTTAACTGATGATCTGTGTGTAAACCAGATGGCCGACAAACGTCTGAAAAATGGAGTGCCTTCTTCCGAAAGAACGAAACAGCCGCTGAGTGCAGATTTACCCTGTACTGCTACCTAAAGCATCATTGTTAACTTGGATAAGTTTATAGGCTGTTGAGGGGGATGTCACCTTCTGGTCTCAGTTGGATCGGCTCAGAATCGAGAGAGAGATGCTCATTATTTTGATTTGTCGCTGTCTCCCGCCCCCCCAGGAGAGCCGTTCAACGGCCAGCTGGATGTGACGGAGAGTGTGAATTATGAGGAGGAAGATTTGCATCGGGAGACAGGCACTCACGTTGGGCAGCCCAGGGGGACATTCCCGGCCATCCAGCCAGGCCGCTTTCCTTCTCTTCAGCCGGACAACCAGGTGCCGGTTGGTCAGCCCCCAAGGCGAAACAGAGAGCACAACTGGAAACAGGTCGGGATGACTGAGTGCTCCACGACATGTGGGAAAGGTAAGCGGCTCGTGGCGCATGCGCAGCCCCGATGGGTTTTTGACCTTGAGGGACCCCAGTTTTTCTGAAAACAGAACTGTGTGATCAGGGAAGAAGGCAGGAATTGTGTTTGAGCCAGTTTGGTGTAGTGGTTCGGAGCACGGACTCTAATCTGGGAGAACCGGGTTCGATTCCCCACTCCTCCCCATGCAGGTGCTGGTGTGACCTTGTGTCAGTCACAAGTTCTCTCAGAGCTGTTCTCTCAAAGGCACGTTCTCTCTTATCTCTCTCAGCCCCACCTACCTCACTAGGTGCCTGTTGTGGGGAGAGGATGGGAAGGCGGTTGGAAGCTGCTTTGGGACACGTGGAGCCTGCTGGGTGACCTAGGGCCAGTCACCGTTCTCTCTTATCTCTCTCAGCCCCACCTACCTCACTAGGTGCCTGTTGTGGGGAGAGGATGGGAAGGCGGTTGGAAGCTGCTTTGGGACACGTGGAGCCTGCTGGGTGACCTAGGGCCAGTCACCGTTCTCTCTTATCTCTCTCAGCCCCACCTACCTCACTAGGTGCCTGTTGTGGGGAGAGGATGGGAAGGCGGTTGGAAGCTGCTTTGGGACACGTGGAGCCTGCTGGGTGACCTAGGGCCAGTCACCGTTCTCTCTTATCTCTCTCAGCCCCACCTACCTCACTAGGTGCCTGTTGTGGGGAGAGGATGGGAAGGCGGTTGGAAGCTGCTTTGGGACACGTGGAGCCTGCTGGGTGACCTAGGGCCAGTCACCGTTCTCTCTTATCTCTCTCAGCCCCACCTACCTCACTAGGTGCCTGTTGTGGGGAGAGGATGGGAAGGCGGTTGGAAGCTGCTTTGGGACACGTGGAGCCTGCTGGGTGACCTAGGGCCAGTCACCGTTCTCTCTTATCTCTCTCAGCCCCACCTACCTCACTAGGTGCCTGTTGTGGGGAGAGGATGGGAAGGCGGTTGGAAGCTGCTTTGGGACACGTGGAGCCTGCTGGGTGACCTAGGGCCAGTCACCGTTCTCTCTTATCTCTCTCAGCCCCACCTACCTCACTAGGTGCCTGTTGTGGGGAGAGGATGGGAAGGCGGTTGGAAGCTGCTTTGGGACACGTGGAGCCTGCTGGGTGACCTAGGGCCAGTCACCGTTCTCTCTTATCTCTCTCAGCCCCACCTACCTCACTAGGTGCCTGTTGTGGGGAGAGGATGGGAAGGCGGTTGGAAGCTGCTTTGGGACACGTGGAGCCTGCTGGGTGACCTAGGGCCAGTCACCGTTCTCTCTTATCTCTCTCAGCCCCACCTACCTCACTAGGTGCCTGTTGTGGGGAGAGGATGGGAAGGCGGTTGGAAGCTGCTTTGGGACACGTGGAGCCTGCTGGGTGACCTAGGGCCAGTCACCGTTCTCTCTTATCTCTCTCAGCCCCACCTACCTCACTAGGTGCCTGTTGTGGGGAGAGGATGGGAAGGCGGTTGGAAGCTGCTTTGGGACACGTGGAGCCTGCTGGGTGACCTAGGGCCAGTCACCGTTCTCTCTTATCTCTCTCAGCCCCACCTACCTCACTAGGTGCCTGTTGTGGGGAGAGGATGGGAAGGCGGTTGGAAGCTGCTTTGGGACACGTGGAGCCTGCTGGGTGACCTAGGGCCAGTCACCGTTCTCTCTTATCTCTCTCAGCCCCACCTACCTCACTAGGTGCCTGTTGTGGGGAGAGGATGGGAAGGCGGTTGGAAGCTGCTTTGGGACACGTGGAGCCTGCTGGGTGACCTAGGGCCAGTCACCGTTCTCTCTTATCTCTCTCAGCCCCACCTACCTCACTAGGTGCCTGTTGTGGGGAGAGGATGGGAAGGCGGTTGGAAGCTGCTTTGGGACACGTGGAGCCTGCTGGGTGACCTAGGGCCAGTCACCGTTCTCTCTTATCTCTCTCAGCCCCACCTACCTCACTAGGTGCCTGTTGTGGGGAGAGGATGGGAAGGCGGTTGGAAGCTGCTTTGGGACACGTGGAGCCTGCTGGGTGACCTAGGGCCAGTCACCGTTCTCTCTTATCTCTCTCAGCCCCACCTACCTCACTAGGTGCCTGTTGTGGGGAGAGGATGGGAAGGCGGTTGGAAGCTGCTTTGGGACACGTGGAGCCTGCTGGGTGACCTAGGGCCAGTCACCGTTCTCTCTGAACTCTCTCAGCCCCACCTACCTCACAAGGTGCCTGTTGTGGGGAAAGGAAGGGAAGGCGGTTGTCGGCCCCTTTGAAGAGTCAGGCGAAAGGACCGGGTAGGAGGTGATGTGAAAGACCTTGGCCTGAGACCCTGGGTCAGTGGCAGCGCATCTGCTCGGCACACAGAAGGTCTCAGGTTCAATCCCTGGCATCTCCAGTTAAAAGGACCAGGCAGGAGATGGTTAAGTGCGCAGACTCTAATCTGAGAGAACCGGGTTTGATTCCCCACTCCTCCACTTCCACCTGGCTGGATGACCTTGGGCAAGCCGTAGTTCTGATAAGAGCAGTTCTTGAAAAAGAGCAGTTTCTCTCAGAGCTCTCTCAGTCCACCTGCCACACAAGGTGCCTGTTGTGGGGAGAGGAAGGGAAAGGAGATCGTAAGGTTCTCTGAGACTCCTTCGGGTAGTGAACAATGTTCCCTCTAAGCTGTGGAGTCTTGTGAGCAAAATGTCTACTTTGTGAGCTGCTGGCATTAAAGTTGTGAGCGAATGATTTGGCTACTGCATAAATGAGCTTGCTCTGGAGTCATCCTCCCTGAGCTAAGACAAAAATCTGTGAGCTGGAGGCTAAAATTTTGTGAGCTAGCTCACACTAACTCAGCTTAGAGGTAACACTGGTAGTGAAGGGCAGGGTATAAAAACCACTCCTCTTCTACCCTCAGTGGGGACGTGCGTTCTGAGGCACATTGGAGAGCTTGTTCTTATGCGCCGCTAGCCCAACCAAACAAGCATACACCGACCTTCTTCCTATAAAACGCACCAGTTTGTGCAACTCAGTTTTGGGGAATGTACGAATATGCCGCTTTTCATTTCATCTGGGTTTGTAGAAACCCTTGCTCCTTTCCCCATGTTTTCCTTGCTCCTTTCCCCATGTTCGGTGGATCTTTATGCTGTTTTTATTCCATTAAGAGTAGCAATTTGGAGACAGGCAAGGAGTGACACTTAGCAGGAAAGAGGAGGCATGGTCCTCACTCTCCTATCTAATCGTCTTCCTGCTGTGCCCTTTGGGGTCTTCTTCCCTTCTTCTTTGTACACCAGACATGGTCTTTTCCAACAGTTTATAAAACTTTCATGTAGCCAGTTTGGCGTCGTGGTTAGGAGCGTGGAGTCTAATCTGGAAGAACTGGGTTTGAGTCCCCACTCCTCCGCGTGCATCTGCTGGTGTGACCTTGGGTCAGTCACAAGTTCTCTCAGAGTGGTTCTCTCAAGAGCAGTCCTCAAAAGAGCTCTCTTAGCCCCCACCCACCTCACAGGGTGTCTGTTGTTGGGAGGGGAAGGGAAAGGGGATTGTAAGCTGCTCTGAGACTCCAAGTGAAGGGTGGGGTATAAATCCAATCTCCTCCTCCTCTTCTTCTTCTTCCCACTATGACAACTGACTTCCAGATAGAGCTCAGTTTCCCTGGAGAAAATGGCTGCTTTGGAGGGTGGACTGTACGGCATAGGACTTTACTGAGTCCCCTCCCCAAACCCCTCCTCACCAGACTCCACCCCCCAAAAAACTTCAGAAGAAGAAGAGAAGAGATTAGATTTATACCCTGCCCTTCACTACCCAAGGGAGTCTCAGAGCGGCTAACAAACTCCTTTCCCTTCCCCTCCCCACAACAGACACCCTGTGAGGTCGGTGGGGATGAGAGAGCTCTGACTGAAACTGCTCTTTTTCAAGGACAGCTCTCGTCAGAACTATAGCTTGCCCAAGGTCACCCAGCAGCTGCATGTGGAGGAGTGGTAGGAGAGCCAGTTTGGTGTAGTGGTTAAGTGCGCGGACTCTAATCTGGGAGAACCGGGTTTGATTCCCCACTCCTCCACTTGCACCTGCTGATGTGATGGTGTAGTGGTTAAGTGTGCAGACTCTAAACTGGGAGAACCGGGTTTGATTCCCCACTCCTCCACTTGCACCTGCTGTGACCTTGGGTCAGTCACAAGCTCTGGCACAGCTGTCCTTGAAAAAGAGCAGTTTGTGTCAGAGTTCTCTCAGCCCCACCCACCTCACAGGGTGTCTGTTGTGGGGAGGGGAAGGGAAAGGAGTTTGTAAGCCGCTCTGAGACTCGAAGTGAAGGGCGGGGTATAAATCCAATCTCTTCTTCTTCTTCTTCAAACCCGGTTCTCCCAGATTAGAGTCTGTGCACTTAACCACTACAGAAACCCAGCACTGCCAACCCTATGTCTCGGGTAGTGAAGGGCAGGGTATAAATGTCTTCTTCTTCTTTTTCTCCTCCTCCTCCTCCTCCCTCCTCCCTCCTCTTTCCTCCTCCTTCCTTCTTCCTCCTTCTTCCTTCTTAATGGGGCCGTCCCTCTTTCCCAGACTTGGATTGCTCACTCGCCCTCATTCCAAGCGATGGATCTTGGCCAGGCTTACGTCGGAGTCCCACCTGCATTGGCAGAGAGCTTGACATCCTTTAAGAAACTCATAGCATCGAAGCGAGCTCTCCCTGGGTAGGGAAGGTCTGTGCTAAACACACACACACATACACCCCGACCTATCTCAGCTTGCCAAAGGCAACAGCGTCACAGCGGTTGATACGATTCCGGGGCCAACCGAGGCAGGGCTGCCCTGTAGGTGCTTCCCTCTTTGCCCGAGGCGGCCAGCTCCAAACCGCAACCCAGGTGCCTGGCTTCGAAGTCAGCGGGGAATGGGGATGGCTGTGAAGAAGCAAGTTGGTGGCGAGGGGGGACGTTGCGCCCAGAAGGTTCGCTGCTTCATGGGAAGCAGCAGGATTCAGAGAGGGAGTCCACACACGGAGGACGGGGCCTGCCGCCAGAAGTTATATATTTCCTGCAAACTCCACCAGGAGAAGCGAAAAAGGACTCTGGGAAGTAGAGGTTTTTTGGAGGCCAACCATCCATCGGTACTCACCGAAACAGCAGTGATTTGTTTTTGTTTTTCTGACCAAGAGTTAAATGAATTAAAATGTTTAGGCCTCACATTTCCTTCCCGCTCAAGTCTGAAGCCTTCTTCAAGTTTCCAGTTTGGTGTCACGGTTCAGAGCACGGACTTCCCGCCTTCCTAGTGGAATGCGCCAGGGAGTGAGTTCTGGACCTTCTGCTTATAAAGCAGGTGGTCACCTAGTGAGACACGGCCCCGGAGCCTTTACACCCCAAGACCTTTTTTCATCCACTCCTCCTTATCCTGTTGTTGGATTTCTAGAGGAACTGATTGGCCCCTGTGTGAGACAGGATGGTGGACTAGATGGACCACTGGTCTGGTCCAGCAGGGCTCTTCTGATGTTCTTATTGGGGAAGGCCTTAGCCTCTGTGCCCTGTTGTTGGCCCTCCAGAGGAACTGGTTGGCCACTGTGTGAGACAGGATGGTGGATGAGATGAACCACTGTTCTGATCCAGCAGGGCTCTTCTGATATTCTTATGAAGGCCTCAGCCTCTATGCCCTATTGTTGGTGCTCCAGAGGAACTGGTTGGCCACTGTGTGAGATGGGATGGTGGACTAGATGGACCACTGGTCTGATCCAGCAGGGCTCTTCTGATGTTTTTATGAAGGCCTCGGCCACCATGCCCTTTTGCTGGCCCTCCATAGGAACTGGTTGGCCACTGTGTGAGACAGGATGCTGGGCTAGATGGACCACTGGTCTGAACCAGCAGGGCTCTTCCTATGTTCTTATGAAGACATCGGCCTGTCTGCCCTGTTGTTGGCCCTCCACAGGAACTGGTTGGCTGCTATGCGAGACTGGATGCTGGGCTAGATGGACCACTGGTCTGATCCAGCAGGGCTCTTCTCATGTTCTTATGAAGGCCTCTGTGCCCTGTTGTTAGACCTTCAGAGGAACTAGTTGGCCACTATGCGAGACTGGATACTGGGCTAGATGGACCACTGGTCTGATCCAGCAGGGCTCTTCTCAGGGCTTTTCTGTTTTTTTCCTGGGGCAGCATGCTGGAACAGAGTTCTAGATCCTCTTCAACAAAATTCTTTTTAAAATGTTTAAAAGTTCGTGAGTTTTCAGAATACATACTGAAAACTTCATTTCCCTCTTGAAAGTTTTGGCACCTCCCCACCCCCCTCCAAAAAAAGCCCTGGCTCTTCTGATGTTCTTATGTAGCATCCTCCACTGTCCGTAGTTAGTTCGTAACCTCTTTTGCGAAAGGACCGGTATTCTTTTTTGGTTATGTGCCATGCCGTGTGCATGATGTTGGCACTGTGTCAATAAACAGATACCTCTGCCACAGATCGGGTCCCCTCCACTTCTTTTAACGTCATTTTTCTTATCATCCCAGGGTCGCAGTATCCCATCTTCCGCTGTGTGAGCAGAAACACTCATGAGGAAGCGACCGAAAGCTACTGTGACCTCAGCACCAAGCCTACGCCAGAAGAGGAGGCCTGCAACGTCTTCCCTTGCCCGGCCTTGTAAGAGTCTCTCCCATTTGTGTGTGTGTGTGTGTAACGGACCCCTGAAACATAAAAAGATAAAAGGCACTGATTTGTGAGTTGGCTAGTTGATTAACTAAAAGAGCCTTGGTTGATTGAGCTGCGGATCCAAATCTCAAATGAAATGGAACAACGATGGCTGAACAGACAGTGTCTGAGAATAAGGCACCTTCTGGGCCAGTTTGGTGTATTGGTTAGGAGCAGTGCTCCCGCTAAGCTGTGGAGTCCTGTGAGCAGAAATTCTGCTTTATGAGCTCCTGGCATTAAAGTTGTGAGCGAGCGATTCAGCTACTGCATAAATTAGCTTGCTCTGGAGCCCCCCTTCTAGAGCTGAGACAAAAGTGTGTGTGAGCCGGAGGCTAAAAAACTGTGAGCTGGCTCACACTATCTCAGCTTAGAGGGAACACTGGTTAGGCGTGCGTGGAGTCTAATCCAGGAGAACTGGGTGTGATTCCCCACTCCTCCACATGCAGCTTGCTGGTGTGACCTTGGGTCAGTCACAAGTCCTTTCACAGCCGTTCTCTCATGAGCAGTTCTTGAAAGGGCTCTCTCAGCCCTGCCTACCTCATATGTTGTTGAGAGAGGAAGGGAAAGGAGTTTGTAAGCTGCTCTAAGACTCCGGGTGAAGGGCAGGATATAAATCCCCTCTCCTCCTCCTCCTCTTCTTCTTCCTTTGCTCTGCTGTAAACAGGATGCTGAACCAGATGGACCATTGGTCTGATCCTGCAGGGATATTTTTGCTTCCTTAAGGGACAGATGACACCATTAGTGCAATCCTAAGCATAGTAATGCCCTTGTAAGCCCATTGACTTCAGTGGACATAGAGGGGTGTAACTATACTTAGGATTTCACAGTTAATCCGAAACAGCCTCTGGAAGCAAGCTGGTTTTAGAGGGTAGTCATGTTGATCTGGAGTAGAATAGCTAGATAAGAGTCCTAACCTTAACCCTGACCCTGACCCTAACCCTAGGTATTTGGGATCTTTTTGGCCTCTAAAATGTTACTGGACTTGAATCTAGGAAGCAAGATGGTGGCTTAGCGCACTGGCAGCTGGAACCACGGTGGGAGATCCCATGCCCTTTACATATCTAGGATGGACACCAGAATGTGAAATTAGTTATACATTTCTGCCTCCCTTCTGTTCTCTTGCCCTGACCGGGACAGCCCAGGCTAGTCCAATCTCATCAGATCTCAGAAGCTAAGCAAGGGTGGCCCCGGTTAGTACTTGGATGGGAGACCACACAGGAAGCCCAGGGTCACGACACAGAGACAGGCCATGGGAAGCCACCTCTGATACGTCTCTTGCCTGAACTCACACCTTATTAGACACGCCTACCTCATCTTCAGAGAATGCTAACAAACGTCTCTTGCCTTAAAAACAAGTCTGAACTCACACCTTATTAGACACACCTACCTCATCTTCAGAGAATGCTAAGTCTGCAGTCAATTGACACAAAGCTGTTGGAACAGTAGATTTTGTTGTTCAGCCACACCGTCGAGTCCAACTCTTCGCGACCCCACGGACCACATCACGCCAGGCCCTCCTGTCTTCCGTCGTGCTCCGGAGTTTGCTTAATTTCATGTTCGTTGCCTCGACAACACTGTCTAACCATCTCATCCTTTGCCATCCCCTTCTTCTTTGACCTTCAGTCTTTCCCAGCATCGGGGTCTTCTCCAGTGAGGGCTCCCTTCTCATTTGGGGGCTAAAGTGTTTGAGCTTCAGCTTCAGTATCTGGTCTTCCAGGGCACAGTCAGGGTTGATGTCGTCCCCTTCTTCTTTGACCTTCGATCTTTCCCAGCATCAGGGTCTTCTCCAGTGAGCGCTCCCTCCTCCTTTGGTGGCCAAAGTAGGTAGCAACAAGCAATTTGTAGTTATAGTTGTAGACAAAGAACAGAAATAAGCAGAGTGTTGTAGTTATTGTTAACTTCATTTATAGAACACCTTTCTCAGAGACTCAATGTAGTAGTTTTAGTAGACTTGATCTCTAACCTGGATGGGACAGGCCAGCCTTATCTGTTCAGATCTCGGACGCTAAGCAGGGTCGGCCATGGCAAGTATCTGGATAGGCAACCTCCAAGGAATACCAGGGGCGTGACGCAGAGGCCGGCAATGCCAAACCACTTCTGAAACATTTATTGAATTAAAAAGAGGTCTAGCTCGCCACCTAGTGGTGCATAATGCTAAAAAAGAGCTAGAGCTTCTGGCTGCTAGAAAATCTTAGGGTCTCCTAGCTATTCTGCGCCCAATGTCATATGAAAATAATAATTATTATTATTCTGCTACCTCCTAGCTGGGACATCGGGGAGTGGTCGGAGTGCAGCAAGACGTGTGGCCTGGGAATGCAACACCGCCAAGTCCTGTGCCGGCAGATCTACGCCAACCGCACCCTGACAGTCCAGCCGCACCGCTGCCACCACCTGGAGAAACCGGAGACAACAAGTACGTGCCAGCTGAAGATCTGCAGCGAATGGCAAATTCGGACAGAATGGACACCGGTAAACAGGAACGCTTCGTGGCGCAAAGCCTGCAGGGGTCTGTGTTCCAGGAGTGCCAGCAGGGCTTCTCTTGGCCTCTGCCTGCCTTTACCCTGCATCCATTCTAAACTTCTATGCGTGATCTGTACAGGAGTTATCACTAGGCTCTTGAGCATGGCATCCATGCATGGAGGAAGTGTACACATACATGCCCCCTCCCTGTGATCAGGAATCCCTGTCCTGTGATTAGGCAGTCAACCCCTGAATCCCAGAGCCAGGAGGCAACATCGGGGGAAGGCCTCAGCCTCTCGGCCCTGTTGTTGGACCTCCAGAAGAAATGGTTGGCCACTGTGTGAGACAGGATGCTGGACTAGATGGACCACTGGTCTGATCCAGCAGAGCTCTCTTTATGTCCCTATGAGCGGAAGGACTTGGCCTCTATGCCCTGTTGTTGGCCGTCAAGAGGAATTGGTTGGCCACTGTGAGACAGGATGCTGGACTAAATGGACCATTGGTTTGATCCGGCAGGGCTTTTCTGATGATCTTATGAAGGCCTAGGCCTCTATGCCCTGTTGTTGAACCTCCAGAAGAACTGACTGGCCACTGAATGAGACAGGATGCTGGACTAGATGGACCACTGTTCTGATCCAGCAGGAGTCTTCTTATGTTCTTATGAAGGTCTTGGCCTCTGTGCCTGTATTTGGACCTCCAGAGTAACTACTTGGCAACTGTGTGAGACAGGGTGGTGGACTAGATGGACCACTACTCTGATCCAGCAGGGCTGTTTGAGAGCCTCGACCTCTATGCCCTGTTGTTGGCCACTGTTTGAGACAGGATGCTGGACTTGATGAACCACTGGTTTCATCCAGCAGGGCTCTTATATTCTTATGAAGTCCTTGGGCCTCTATACTCTGTTGTTGGCCCTCCAGAGTAACTGCTTGGCCAGTGCGTGGGACAGGATGCTGGATTAGATGGACCACTGGTCTGATCCAGCAGGGCTCTTCTGGTGTTCTTATGAAGGCCTTGGTCTCTCTGCCCTGTTGTTGACCCTCCAGAGGAACTGGTTGGCCACTGTGAGAGACAGGATGCTGGACTAGATGGACCCCTGGTCTGATCCAGCAGTGCTCCTGATTGTGGGGATGGAGCATGCAAGTGCATACTTCCTCCATGCACAGATGCTGATCTCAAAACTGGTGACCACATATAGGCAAGGAGGAGGGCCACCAAGCTCATGTGGGCTCCCCCTCAGTGTGCATTGATTCAACACATGTATGGGTCATGCGTAGAGGGCCAGTGTGGCAACTTGTCAAATGTTTTACAGAGAGGGAGAATCCATGGCACGGCTGCCCTTGGAAATGATGGCAGGTTCAAATCACGCAAGAGGCTGGAGCACCTTGCCCCTGAGCCACAACAGTTTTGGGCCATGTTAGTTCTGAGGAAAGCCTCCTAGATATTTTGGAGTGGATGGCAGGAGCGTATTTCCTTTTCTTAAAAAAGTAAACCCTTGGAAAATGGCAGAGTATCGATATACACAAAAGTCTGTTAGATCAAATTCCTGGTAGAATGGTTGCACAAACGCACAAGCAGAGAAGAAATTTGCGTTAAATGTACTTTTGAGGGAAGGCCACCCCCCCCAAAAAAAACATATCCCTTCTTTAAAATGACAGAAAATGTGATTGGGTGTGTATTGGAGCAAGGTTTGGAGCTCCTGGTTGTTGACGACACAGGCGCTGTCCAATGAGATGCCTGCAACAGTCACTCGGACAGCAAAAGGGGCACTTCCTGGAACAAAAGTTGGCCAGTTACCTGCAGGATTATTCCATAGAATCTGGCTTGTGTTCCTCTCCACTTGCCAACTCAATGTCACTTAGACCCCGCTTCTCAGATGCAGTTATTCAATTAGTTTATGCCTGATTATAAAGAGAGAGAGAAAGCATTCCATTCAGAAAAGGATTTTTTTGTGGGGGAGGAGGGGGAATATTCCGAAAGGGAGAGGGAACATTGTGCCGGGCTATGGGTCGAGTTTTGTTTTGCGCCTCCGTCCTGGAATTCAAGGAGGTCCCCAATTCGGAAGACGCTTCCTGATCTTAAAAGCAAACACATGGCTGAAGAATGCATGTGGGGTGGCCGCTTATCCAAGCATTTAAAAAAACCCATGAATGAGGTCGCCTTTGATCTTGAGAGAGGGGAGAGATGGCACTGTAGCCGGCCTGGAATGATTCCGCTGTTAGTAATCAGTTCTTTTTAAAAAATAAAATAGCTTCTGGTAAGCAAGGGGGGGCGTTACAGAAGACTCTTTGGGGTTGCTAAGAATAGGGCCCTTAATTAGGCAATAGTATCCTCGATGCCCTGTTTAGCCCTGACCTAGAGGGCTCAAGCTAGCCCACTTTTGTCAGATCTCAGAAGCTAAGGAGGAAGAAGAAGAAAAGGAGGAGGAGGAGGAGGAGGAGATTGGATGTATACCCCGCCCTTCCCTCGGAGACTCAGAGCAGCTTACAAACTCCTTTCCCTTCCCCTCCCCACAACAGACACCCTGTGAGGAAGGTGGGGTTGAGAGAGCTCTTTCGGGAACTGCCCCTGAGAGAGCAGCTCTGAAAGAACTTGTGACTGACCCAAGGTCACACCAGCAGCTGCATGTGGAGGAGTGGGCAATCATATCCGGTTCTCCCAGATTAGAGTCCGCGCACTTAACCACTACACCAAACTGGCTGAAGAAGAGGAGGAGGAGGAGGAGAAGATTGGATGTATACCCCGCCCTTCACTCGGAGACCCAGAGCAGCTTACAAACTCCTTTCCCTTCCCCCTCCCCACAACAGACACCCTGTGAGGTAGGTGGGGCTGAGAGAGTTCTTTCGAGGACTGCCCTTGGGAGAACAGCTCTGAGAGAACTTGTGACTGACCCAACATCACACCAGCAGCTGCATGTGGAGGAGTGGGGAATCTTTCAGAGCTGTTCTCTCAAGAGCAGTCCTCGAAAGAGCTCTCTCAGCCCCACCTACCTCACAGGGTGTCTGTTGTGAGGAGGGGGAAGGGAAAGGAGATTCTCAGCCGCTCTGAGTCTTTGAGTGAAGGGTGGGGTATAAATCCAATCTCCTCCTCCTCCTCCTCTTCTTCTTTTCAAGCTAAGAGACGTTCAGAGGTGGCTCGCCATTGCCTGCCTCCACATCACAACCCTGGTATTCCTTGCAGGTCTCCCGTCCAAATACTAGCCAGGCCCGACCAATGTTCCCTCAAAGCTGTGGAGTCCTGTGAGCAAAAATTCTACTTTGTGAACTACTGGCATTAAAGTTGTGAGCGAGCAATTTGGCTGCCACATAAATTAGTTTGCTCTGGAGCCTTCCTTCCTGAGCTAAGATAAAAATGTGTGAGCTGGAGGCTAAAAATCTGTGAGCTAGCTCACACTAACTCAGCTTAGAGGGAACACTGGACCCGACCCTGCTTAGCTTCTGAGATCTGAGAAGACCAGGGGTAATTTCCCACAAGCGCTTCTCCGCGCTCACTCTTCTCTTTGGCCCGGTGGTACGTGTCAATTTCACACAAGCTGCTGCGCGGCCGCATTTTGCCCCACAGCTTCGTGCGATTTCCCCCGCGTCTACTCAATCCTGTTTTTTGCGGATTGAGTAGACGCGGGGGTGTATAGTTTCTGCCCCCCAGGCCAGTCCAGGGATGGGGGAAAGAATTCTACACTGGCACAATACATTACACAATAACCCAGAGGAGGTAGGCTCTCTGGATTTCAGAACACTATAGCCACCAGGAATCTCTATGATTAATCCCTCACCAGCCTGAGATTAGAGATCCCCAGAATCTCAGCGGGCATGTGGGTTTTACACAACTCTGTCTAGAGCTGCACAGTTAATCTTACACAGGTAGCACCATTTGGCAAGCAGCAGGCACAGGAAAAGGGCTTGGAGTGCAATTACCACAATCCAGACACTATTTATAAACCAGAATAAAGTTTATTCAGCACAGACTTAGCACAGACTAGAAAGGATTCAAAATAACAAAGCTTATGGCTCTTGGCCCTAACTAGACATTAGAGATATGCATAATTACCAACTTCAGGAATCCATAGTCCAAGATTGTCCATTGTGAAAAAGTCCATTAGGTCCCATCTTTATGCAAGCATGTAGCCATGTACTCAGCTCCAAAGCAATCCTTTGTCTCTGTTAGGAGCCACATGGTAGCATAGCATCTCAGATGGACAGACACACCAGTAGAGATCACAGGAACAGAAGAGAGAGAGAGATTTTCTCTCATTGGGAATGACCAGATATAGTGCAATTCCAGTCTTCCAATTAGCCCTGGCCAGGGGCCAATTGAAGGAGACCTGGGAGTGCCCAATTGTAGAGTTACCATGGGAACAACTTCTGAATGGTCAGTTGTCTTGAAGGCCACACCCGCAGTTATGTGATCCCCCAAGCCCCAACTCCCATAGTGTACGTGCTGTTTCTGGCATGCTAGCCTAGCTTCCAGCACGAGGTGTGAAGCTATGTGGTTTATGGCATGGCAATAGAGCTTCTCTGACCAAATGTTCAAGCCATTTGGTTTCAATAGGAAATCAACACAGCAGGGGATCAGCAAGATACATTCCAGGGAAGACATGAAGCCTATAGAAATCAATATTTCTATACAGGGGGGAATCGCACGAAGCTGCGGGGCAAAATGCGGCCGCGCAGCAGCTTGTGTGAAACTGACACGTACCATCGGGGCAAAAGGGAGGAGTGAGCGTGGAGCAGCCCTTGTGGGAAATCACCCCAGGATAGCCTGAGCTGAAAACCTCATGGGGGTTGCCGTGAGTCAGCTTTTACTTGGCAGTCATGCCCACCTTCAAGGCAAAAGTAACTACGGAAGCTATGTGCAGTCAAGACTCACAGGGTGGGATTACCAGGACCTCTTCAACAGGAAAATGTTGAGAAGAAAAATCAATTCTCTGTGAGTTTTGGTGCTCGATATCCTCCAAAGATACTCTGGGTTGGCAAATGTCTGGGAAAGAGCTGAGAATTTGATATTCAGGACTGACGTTTGATGCTCAAGGGCTTAGTAACTGCTGTAACCATTTCGCCAGTCCCCAGTCAAGTGTCTTACAATCTCTTGCAACAAAGCTTTGTCCGTTTTATAGCCGCTCTGAAAAAAGCTAACGGGAAGAAAGAGGGTTTATTTGAAAGGTGGTGTTGGAGGTTTGATGGATACCGTGGGCTGCCAAAGGACAAATCAGGGGGTTCTAGATCAAATCGTGTCTGAACATGCCCTAGAACTTAAAACGACTGAACTGAGGGTATCGTACTTTGGTCCCATTATGAGAAGCCAAGAGTCACTGGAAAGGACAATAATGCAAGGAAAAGTTGAAGGCAGTGGGAAAAAGAGGAAGAGCTGGGGGGTGTCCTGGCCCCATGGCTGGACCTCCTGATGGCACCTGATGTTTTTGGCCACTGTGTGACAGAGTGTTGGACTGGATGGGCCATTGGCCTGATCCAACATTGGCTTCTCTTATGTTCTTATATGGAGCAGAGGTCCATCAGGGGCTATTAGCCACAAGGTATAGATGGGAACTCTCAGTCTGGGGCAAGGGATGCTCTGTATTCTTGGTGCCTGGGGGGGAGGGACAGTGGGAGGGCTTCTGGTGTCCTGGCCCCACTGATGGACCTCCTGATGACACCTGGTCTTGATGGGCCATTGGCCTGTTCCAACACTGACTTCTTTTATGTTCCTATATGGAGCAGAGGTCCATCAGTGGCTATTAGCCATGAGGTATAGGTAGGAACTCTCAGTCTGGGGCAAGGGATGCTCTGTATTCGTGGTGCTTGGGGGGGCAACAGTGGGAGGCCGTCTAGTGTCCTGGCCCCATGGCTGGACCTCCTGATGGCCCCTGGTATTTTTGGCCACTGTGTGACAGAGTGTTAGATGGGATGGGCCATTGGCCTGATCTGGCTTCTCTTATGTTCATAAATTTGCTGCAGTCTTGAATTCTTCTAACTAGGAAGGTCTTCTTAAGGTTTAACTTAACCTCTGTGTGCGTGTGGGTGTGGGTGAAGTTCCAGGAAGTCACTTTTGACTTATGGTGACCCTATGATTTAATGTCCTCCAAAGTGTAGCCTACTTTCCAAAAACTCATTGGCCATGATCCTGGGCTCCCCTGTAAAGATAGCCACCCATTTTTACGTAGGGCTGAGGAATGTGTGGAATTGAGTTGAGTCCGGAGATTTGTGGATGTCGGCAAAATGTGATTAAACTCTACCAAAGGTCCATAAGGATGTGTGCCACCTCACCCACGTTCTTTTCCTGTTGTTTCAGTGTTCGGTGCCGTGTGGCGTGGGCCAGCGGATGCGAGACGTGAAGTGTGTGAGCAACCTGGGAGATGTCGTCGATGATGAGGAATGCAACATGAAACTACGGCCGAATGACATTGAGAACTGCGATATGGGACCCTGTGCCAAGAGCTGGTTTCTCACAGACTGGAGTGACCGGGTAAGGCCTGGAGTGACAGGTCAAATGGATGGGTGGACTACTGCAGATGCATCTACTTTGTTCTCTTGTAGGTAGCTTTGTTGTTGCCAATGGTCCCAAACAAGCCAGGCTATTTCACACTTCTCTATTTGGTGCAATATACTTTTCTTGCTTTCCTCTGATAAGTACATAAGAATGGTAGAAAGGCCCCGTAGATCAGACCAGTGGTCCAGCTGTTCCAGCATCTTGACCGAGAGAGTGGCCAATGACTTACTCTGGAGGGCTGAGGCCTTCATAAGAACATAAGGAATGTCCTCCTGCTGGATCAGACCAGTAGTCCATCCAGTCCAGCATCCCGTCTCACACAGTAGCCAACCAATTCCCCTGGAGGGCCAACAATAGGGCAGAGAGGGCGAGGCCTTCATCAGAACATCAGAAGAGCCCTGCTGGGTCAGACCAGTGGTCCATCTAATCCAGCATCCAGTCTCACACAGTGGCCAACCAGCTTCTCTAGAGGGCCAAGAATAGGGCATTGAGGTGAGGCCTTCACAAGAACATCAGAAGAGCCCGGTTGGATGAGAGCAGTGGTCCATCTAGTCCAACATCCTGTCTCACACAGTGGCCAACCAGTTCCTCTGGAGGGCCAACAATAGGGCATAGAGGCTTTCATTAGAACATCAGGAGAGCCCTGCTGTATCAGACCAGTGGTTCATCTAGTCCTGCATCCTGTCTCACACAGTGGCCAACCACTTACTCTAGAGGTCCATGGTGACGGGTCTGGAGACCATGTCCTATGAGGAATGGTCGAAGGAGCTGCGTATTTTAAGTCTGGAGAGAAGATTGAGAAGTGATATGATAGCCATCTTTCAGTATTTGAAGGGCTGTCTTATAAAGGATGGTGCAGAGCTGTTTTCTGGTGCCCCAGAAGGTCAGACCAGAACTGACAGCTTGAAATTAAGTCAGAAGAGTTTTCGACTAAACATCAGGAAGAACTTACTGGTGGTTAGAGTGGTCGCCCAGTAGAACAGGTTTCCTCGGGAGGTGGTGGGCTCTCCTTCTTTGGAATTTTTTAAAGCAGAGGCTAGATCAGGGGTGTCGAACTCATTTGTTATGAGGGCCAGATCTGACATAAATGAGACTTTGATGGGCCGGGCCATGTGTGTCATAAAATGTAATGCCAGGTAGCGGAGAGATAAACTTTATAAAGGACACAAACACAAAGGGTGTTTTTTTACTTAAAATAAAAACATGCTTAAAACATGAGCACTCTTGCAATATTTTATTTATTTAACGGTGTCTGATAACTGACACCTTTTGCTCTGAATCATTGCATCAAAATGTCTGTGCTGTTGCAATCCTGAGTATGCTGTTCAGGTGTGTATCTGTAAGCTGGAAACCTACGATGATGCAGCAGCAGCAGAACTGGAAGAAGAAGCAGGAGACAGCAAGTTCCACTGCGGGCCTGATAGAAGCCCTCCAGGGGCCTGATCTGGCCCGCGAGCCGCATGTTTGACACCCCTGGGCTAGATGGCCATCTGACAGCAATGCTGGATTTAGGCAGATCAGGAGAGGGAGGGCAGGAAGGAATGAGTCAGCGCTCAGGTCTCGTGGCCCTTTCTTACATGCCCAGGGTAATGCCGATTGCAACTTTGAGTCAGGAAGGGATTTTCCTCCAGGCCAGATTGGCCCAGGGGTCCTGGAGATTTCTTCTTCCCTCTGAGCATACAGCAGGGGTCACTGTGGGATTGGGGGGGGAATGTAGCTGTGAATTTCCTGCATTGTGCAGTGGGTTGGACTAGATGACCTCTGGTATCCCTTCCAGCTCTATATTCCTGGGTTTCCTGTGCTATATATGCTGCTTGAACTGACTGGAAACACTTTACTTTGGTAGCTCTCTGTCTGTGATGCAGCTGCTCCCCGGGCGTGGCGCAAATTGCGGTCTGGGTTGCATATTTGATGGATCAGGTGGGTGGATGATTTTGCCTCTTGAGTGGAAGGGGTGGATGATTCTCCAGGACTTCCCGAACTCTGTGAGGTCTACCCTGCCAGTCTGTTCCAACGCCAAGGTCTTGTTTGCTGAGGCGTAGGCTTCAAAAGACTTGTCCTTAAAAGCGTTTCATTTCTAATTTATAACCACCAAGTATTTTTTCTCTCTCTTTATTTACTTTTTTAAACTGGGGAATGAATGGTTTTTAAAAATAAATTTGTTGGAAGGATATTTCTCTTGCAAAAGAATGGTCCTTGGGGATGTTGAAACAGAAATGTGCCAACTGAAACACTCAGAGCTGGATCCAATGGTGGTGTAAAGCCACCCACATAAGAACATCAGAAGAGCCCTGCTGGATCAGACCAGTGGTCCATCTAGTCCAGCATCCTGTCTCACACAGCGGCCAACCAGTTCCTCTGGAGGGCCAACAACAGGGCATAGAGGCCCAGGCCTTCATAAGAACCTCAGAAGAGCCCTGCTGGATCAGACCAGTGGTCCATCTAGTCCAGCATCCTGTCTCACACAGTGACCAACCAGTTCCTCTGGAGGGCCAACAACAGGGCATAGAGGCCCAGGCCTTCATAAGAACCTCAGAAGAGCCCTGCTGGATCAGACCAGTGGTCCATCTAGTTCAGCATCCAGTCCCACTCAGTGGCCAACCAGTTCCTCTGGAGGGCCAACAACAGGGCAGAGAGGCCCAGGCCTTCATAAGAATATCAGAAGAGCCCTGCAGGATCAGACCAGTGGTCCATCTAGTCCAGCATCCTGTCTCACACAGTGACCAGCCAGTCCCTCTGGAGGGCCAACAACAGGGCAGAGAGACCCAGGCCTTCATAAGAATATCAGAAGAGCCCTGCCGGATCAGAGCAGTGGTCCATCTAGTCCAGCATCCTGTCCCACACAGTGACCAATCAGTTCCTCTGGATGGCCAACAACTGGTCATAGAGGCTGAAACCTTCCCCTGATGTTGCCTCCTGGCTCTGGGATCCAGAGGATTAGTGCCTCTGAATGTGGAGATTCCCCTCAGTCACCATGGCTAGTAGCCATCGATAAGACTTCTCCTCCATGAATCTGTCCCATCCTCTTTGAAAGCTGTTTATTCCTGTGGCCATCACTACATTCTCTGGCAGTGAATTCCACATTGGAATCACTCTCTGTGTCAAGTAGTATTTCCTTTTGTCTGTCCTGAACCTACAGCCCATCAGCTTCACTGGATGCCCTCAAGTTCAAGTCTTTTGGGAGAGGGAGAAAAATTTATCTTTGTCAACTCTCTCCACCCCATTCATAATTTTATAAACCCCTATTATGAACCAGATTCATTGTGGGTTTATTTTTCGTTATGTTTTAGAGCTCGCCCTTTCACACACAGGTTCAAACACATGACTTCAGGGTTTTCCCTTACACCAGAGAACAGCTGTTAAAACATTTTCCCCCACTTGTATGCCCAAAGGATAAGTTGTGAACTTTGAGCTATCGCTTCAGTATGTTCTTCCATTTATTTATTTATGTTCAACCAGAGAATCTATCAATAAAGCAGCCAGGGTCTATTAGCAGTACAGCCGCCGTGGTTTATTGTTCGATTCAAAAAAGAAACAAAGGGGTGTGTTGCTTCTTCTCCGCCATAACGATTTCCAAATGTTTGCTACTGTGCCAGGTGCAATACGCTGGCTGTTCTTGCATTATTACACTGGCAGGTTGACATTTAAGAGGGGACCTATATCTATTTATTTAAATCTATACCTCGCCCTCCCTGCCTCGGCATAATAACATTCAGTATCATAAAACCTCTAAAACAATTAATTAAAACCACATTATATCAACATTAAAGTGCTAGCAATAGTGCTTTTGCTATCATATAGATGGTGGTATGATATATAGGAGAGCGCAAAAGTGGGCTTGAAGCTCAACATCAAAAAAACGAAGATCATGGCATCCGGCCCCATCACTCCTTGGGAAATAGAAGGGGAAGTCGTGGAAGTAGTGACAGACTTCACATTCCTGGGATCCCAGATCACCGCAGACTGTGACAGCAGCCATGAAATTAAAAGACGCCTGCTCCTTGGGAGGAAAGCGATGGCGAACCTAAACAGCATGATAAAAAGTAGAGACATCACCCTGCCAACAAAAGTCCGCATGCTCAAAGCAATGGTATTCCCAGTAGTCATGTATGGCTGCGAGAGTTGGACTATAAGGAAGGCCGGGCGCCGAAGAATAGATTCTTTTGAACTATGGTGCTGGAGAAGACTCTTGAGAGTCCCTTGGACTGCGAGAAGATCAAATCAGTCAATCCTAAAAGGAATCAACCCTGACTGTTCCCTGGAAGGCCAGATAATGAAACTGAAGCTCAAATACTTTGGCCACCAAATGAGAAGGGAGCACTCACTGGAGATGAGATGGTTAGACAGTGTCATCGATGCAACGAACATGAAATGGAGCCAACTTCAGAGGACGGCGGAAGACAGGGGGGCCTGGTGGGAGCTGGTCCATGGGATCGCGAAGAGTCGGATTCGACTGTGCGACTGAACAACAACAATGATATATAGATGGTGGTAGAGCATCTGCTCGGCATGCAGAAGGTCCCAGGTTCAATCCCCGGCATCTCCAGTTAAAAGGACCAGGCAGGAGATGATGGGAAAGACCTCCACCTGAGACCCTAGCTCAGTGGTAGAACTTCTGCTCAGCATGCAGAAGGTCCCAGGTTAAATCCCCGGCATCTCCAGTTACAACGATCAGGTAGGAGGTGTTGTGAAGGACCTCCGCCTCAGACCCTAGCTCAGTGGTAGAGCATCTGCTTGGCATGCAGAAGGTCCCAGGTTCAATCCCCAGCATCTCCAGTTATAATGATCAGGTAGGAGGTGATGTGAAGGACCTCCGCCTCAGACCCTAGCTCAGTGGTAGAGCATCTGCTTGGCATGCAGAAGGTCCCAGGTTCAATCCCCAGCATCTCCAGTTACAACGATCAGGTAGGAGGTGATGTGAAGGACCTCCGCCTCAGACCCTAGCTCAGTGGTAGAACTTCTGCTCAGCATGCAGA